CATTTTAAATCGTCTTACAAACCACGGGTGCAGAGGCACTTCGGGAAACACTATTGCATTCTTTCCTCTAACGCAGCGGTTCTCAACCTGTGGGTCGCGACCCCTTTGGGGGTCGAACGACCCTTTCACAGCGGTTGCCTAAGACCATCAAAAAACACATATATAATTACATATTGTTTTGTGATTAATCACTATGCTTTAATTATGTTCAATTTGTAACAATGAAATTGGGGGTCACCACAACATGAGGAACTGTATTAAAGGGTCGCAGCATTAGGAAGGTTGAGAACCACTGCTCTAACGGATTTGTCCATTTCGGTGACAGAACATCACTCTAGCTTCATGGTGTGTTTTATTGCTGTTATTGTTCATGTCTTATTTTGAAATAACTTCAGACTCTCAAGATAGTAAAAATAGTACCGAGAACTGTTGTGAATCCACCAACTAGTCTCTCCTGATGATGACGTCTTATGTATCTGTAATACATTATCAAACTCAGGAAATTGACATGGCACAATATGATTGACTAGACCAGTGGTCGGCAAACTCATTAGTCAACAGAGCCAAATATCAACAGTACAACGACTGAAATTTCTTTTGAGAGCCAAATTTTTTAAACTTAAACTATATAGGTAGGTACATTGTTATTAACTTAATTAGGGTACTCCTAAGGCTTAGGAAGAGCCACACTCAAGGGGCCAAAGAGCCGCATGTGGCTCGAGAGCCACAGTTTGCCGACCACGGGACTAGACTACAGAGCTTTCTCAGATTTTGCCCATTTTTGCCTGCACCTATATTTTGTCTTTATATATAGAAATGACATTTTATCGCATTTATAGATTCATGTAACTACCACCACAATCAAGATACAGAACCATTAGTCACCATCAAGGAGCTTCCTCACAGACCCCTTCATAGTCACACCCTCCCTCACCTAACCCTCTGGCACCCATGGCTCTGTGGGCCACTCTATAACTTTGTCATTTTAATAATGTTATAGAAATGGAATCATACAGTACAGCATCTTGGGAACTGACTTGTGGGTTTTTTTCCTCACTTAGCATAATGACCTAGAGATTTGTCCAAATTGTTATGTCTATCAAAAGTCATTCCTTTCACTTGCTGACTAGTGTCCCACGGTGTAGCAATACCACAGTTTGTTTAACCACTCACCTACTAAGGGACATCTGTTTTTTTTCTAGTTGGGGACTATTACAGCTAAAACTGCTATGAACATTCATATTTAGCTTTTTTTAAAAATCCTCACCTGAGGATATATTTTTTTACTGATGAGAGAGAGAGAAAGAGAGAGAGAGAGAGAGAGAGAGAGAGAGAGAGAGAGAGAGAGAAACATTGATATGAGAAACATTGATCGGTTGCCTCCCCTATGCCCCCTGACTGGGAATCGAACCTGCAATCTTTTGGTGTACCAGAGGATGCTCTAACTGAGCTACCCAGAGCCAGGGCATCATGTACAGGTTTTGATGTGAATCTAAGCTTTTTTTTCTCCTGGATAAATGCTCAGGGGTGTGATCACTGGGATCCACAGTAAGTATGTGTTTATTTAAGAAACTGCCAGATTGGTTTCCAGAGTGGCTGAACCATTCACACTCCTCCCAGCAATGTCTGAGGGCTCAGGTTTCTCTGTATCCTCACCAGCATTCGGCACTGTCCGTGTTTTTTTGTTACCTATTTTAATATATGTTCCTGAGGTTTTGATCCATCTTTCCCTGATGGCTATTAATGTTGAGCATCTTTTCATGTACTTATTTGTATGGCCTGTTTTGATACCAACCAGGCAAGTCTGAGGTTGCCTTTCTTATATGGTTCCTGCCTCCCCTGGCCCTGAGAGGGAGGCTGACCTTGACTGCTCCCTGAGTGGGAATGCTCCTCTTAGCTCTTCCATAGGCTGGAAGGGGTGGGGGTGATGGTGGGCAACTTGACCTCAGTGGTTAGGAGCACAGGCTCAGAGCTTCGGGTAAGCTCTGGGTGGGCTTCCTGGGGAGAGGATGTGACGCTCCCAGTACCACACCCCAAGACACTTTCAATGAAAACCAATGCCTTTGGAGATGGAGTCACTTAGGCGTTGTGAGGAAGTTCTCAGACTGGGCTCACAACTGGAAATAGTGGGACCTGGTCATAACAGAGTCACAAGTATGACCGCACCTTTTCGGGCTGTAGAAAGAATTGGAGGGGAAGCTTGAGTTGTCCCAAAAGGCCTGTGGTTCCCACCAATATTCCAAGAGTAGGACTCACGTCCGTCATGCTCTGCCCAGCGCCCCTGAGCAAGACCTGCCCAGCGGTGGGGGGAGGGCCACCTCCGCAGCAGTGACTGTGTCTCCCCACCCAGACTCACCTTCTCCCTGAGAGTTGACTATGAGCCCAAAGGTGCTAAGAACCTCTGAGATCCAGGATAGGACTTGTGAGTCGGAGCCCAGGCAGCGCTAAAGCACATCCTGGAGGAGTGAACTGGCCCTGGCAGGAGCCAGGCGGAACCAAACTCATAAACCCTACGGTGAGGAGGAGGGTGTGAGAGCGGGGAGAGGTCTCAGGTTCACCCTCTAGAGCAGGGATTCTAAGGTAGCTCTGCCGTCAGTGGCTCAAAAGGAGCCTCCTGACAGTCACACATCCCAAATGCAGGCCCTTTCCTATGTCTTCCGGGGCAATCATGATCTCATCCAGAAGGTTCCATTTTCACCCGTGACCACAGTCCTCTTCATTACAACCTATGATTGAATCATTAAGGCTTACTAAAAGAGGGTATTCATAGTGTAAAATAAGGGTGTTTCTAAAACTTACTGAACGATGTCAGTGGGACCTTGGGGTCAGCTACTTAAAATGTGTTTATTTGCCCGTCTGTAAAGTGGGGATAATAATAGTTCCAACTTCACTGAGCTACTGGAAGGGTGAAGGGTTAAAACAGTACCTCGCCGAAACCGGTTTGGCTCAGTGGATAGAGCGTCGGCCTGCGGACTGAAAGGTCCCAGGTTCGATTCCAGTCAAGGGCATGTACCTTGGTTGTGGGCACATCCCCGGTGGGAGATGTGCAGGAGGCAGCTGATCGATGTTTCTCTCTCATCAATGTTTCTAACTCTCTATCTCTCTCCCTTCCTTTCTGTAAAAAAAATCAATAAAATATATTTAAAAAAAAACACTTATTAAAACAGTACCTGGCACAGAGCAAGCATTGTGTCAGCTGTTATCATGACTAAAACATAAGCAGGGACTCCCCACCCCTGCAGAGGCTGGTGCTCCTGCCACTGTGCAGGGGGTTTTGACCTGGGCTAGGGCTGCCTATGCTTGATCAGGCTGCCTTGATGGTAAGTTTTCCCACTGACATTAACCTTCTTAGGAAATGGTAAATTTCTGTTAGCTTAGTTTTATTGTTATCAACAGTACTAGAGGCCCAGTGCACGAATTCATGCACCAGAGGGGTCCCTCAGCCTAGCCTGCGGGATCAGGCTGAAACTGGCTCTCCAACATCCCTCCAGGGGTCCCGGATTGCGAGAGGGCAATCTGGCCACGGAGGGATGTGGGAGATTGGCCAGCTGGAGAGGGACCGCAGGAGGGCTCCAGGGCATGTCCGGCCTGTATTGCTCAGTCCCGATTAGCTGGACCCCAGCAGCAAGCTAACCTACCAGTCAGAGCATCTTCCCCCTGGTGGTCGGTGCACATTATAGCGAGTGGTTGAGCGGTCTTAGCATATCATTAGCATATTACGCTTGGATTGGCTGAACGGATGACTGAACACTTAGCATATTAGGCTTTTATTATATAGGATGTGTTGGGAATGGTTTGGTAAATCCTACAGAATACACTGCTGCATATTCCACACTCTAATTTTTAACATAAAACTTTCTAATAACTAGATTTCAAGCCATCCATGTGTATGGTTCAAACGTGGATCATCTCTGTCCCTATAGTTAAGCATGATGTGTATATATATATATATATATATATATATATATATATATATATAACACGCCCCCCCCCAAAAAAAATTTGACTTTTGTGGAAAACATTATTGCTGTTACTGAGCTCTTTAAGGGGGACCATCAGGTGAGTGTGGGCTGCAGAGTTTTCAGCTTCTCCTAAGTAGGCTCCAGAATATTGGAGACCCCCACATGGAGGGCCCAGGAGGGTGGCCCTGCTCTTCAGAACTAGGTACCTGGGGAGTGGCAGCAGCCCCTGTCTGCAAGGCACCCCAGCTTGATGTAGAGGCAAGGGTCCTTGGGCTCCTCCTGGGGACCCCAGCTCCCCAGGCTGTCCTCTATGTCACAGCAGCTGCCCCTGCATGGACCCAGGAGTGTCTGTGCAGAGTGCTCACACATGTGCACACACACAGGGCTCAGGATCTGGCTCTGGACACCTCCTCCAGCAGCCTTACCTGATTGATCATACCCAATGCGGACCCATCTTCTCCTCTGCACCTGAAGACTTGTTATCTCTTTCCATTTGTTCCTCACTCTGCTGAGGGAACAGAATCCTGCCTGAGTCAGAGTGAGTCCTTTCTGTCCACGCTATGAAAGTAGACCTGATTGCCAGTTCGATTCCCGGTCAGGGCACATGCCCAGGTTGTGGGCTCAATCCCCAGTTGGGGGCATGCAGTAGGCAGTTGATCGATGTTTCTCTCTCATCAATGTTTCTCTCTCATCGATGTTTCTCTCTCTCTCTCTCTCTCTCTCTCTCTCTCTCTCTCTCTCTCCCTCCCTCTTCCTTCTTCTCTCTCTAAAATAAATAAAAGCCTATATATATATATATATATATATATATATATATATATATGACCTGATGTTTGTACTGAGGCCCATTCACATACATATACCCATTAGATACAATATACTGCCTTGGGTGACTAAGGAAGCTAGGTCCAGAGAGGGTAGGCCACTTGTCAGAGGTCACGCAGTCAGGCCCAGCCCAAGGAGTTCCCCTGTAATGAAGATGCTTATTGGTGGCCTAACTCCTTAAATGGTGAACTAACTTGCCTCCTTGCACCGCTCCTGCAGATGCCAAAGGGACCATCCGGGAAATTGTCCTGCCCAAGGGCCTGGACCTGGACCGGCCCAAGCGGACCCGCACATCCTTCACGGCCGAGCAGCTGTACCGCCTGGAGATGGAATTCCAGCGCTGCCAGTACGTGGTGGGCCGTGAGCGCACCGAGCTGGCCTGCCAGCTGAACCTCTCAGAGACCCAGGTAAGAGGGTATCGGGCCACTGTACCCCTGTTCTGGCAGCCAGGGAACTCCTTAAGTGTGAGAACTAACCTTGGAGGAGTTCAGACAGGCATTAGGGGCACGCTTAAAGTTACAGGAAAATCAGAGAAAATAATTCCAGTGCTGACAAGAGAGAACTGGTATATGCCAGTGAGGGTCTTCATGATGCATCAGGCAATTTGGATGAAACGGGGAGAAACCTGGGGGGAGGACACTGTTAATGCTGGGAGTGGCTTAGGGGGATGTTGGCAAGTGAGAGAAGCTTGCAGAAAGGGATGGTGAGGGGTTGGGTTTGGGGAGAGAGAGATTTTACACAATTGGGACCTCAATTCCCCATTCTGGGCCTTTTCCTCCCCTCCGTCACCTTCCCTTCATCCCGGTGTGGCTCAGAATCTGTTGCTAGAGAGAAGGGGTCTGAATACCCGCTTCACCCAAGAATAGCATTTTAACAATAGTGTGCTCAACCCAAAGGCAAAGCTTTTGTAAACTGAGTCTCTATCCTGTGAGGGTGGAGGCATTTCAAGCTGGCGATAGAGCCATGTCGTGACACAACAACAATAATCATACTTACTGAGCACTCACTTGTGTCCAGGCGCTGTTCTAAGTGCTTTGGGTATGAGTTTTTAGTTGATGGTGCTGAGGTTTTCTTTTTGTTCATTTGTTTATTTTTTCAGCCAAGAAAGTAAGGGTTTGTTAAGGAGAGGGAGCCACGCCCAGAGTCACAGGTAGCTGTGTTCCAAGGCCTGGCTCTCTGATGGCTCCCGGGGGGTGGAAAAAATATTAGTCATGGTGACAACAGAGTTAGGGTGCTGGCCTCCACTGATAGCTGGTGCTCGGGCGGGCGTGATTGATCACTGCGTCTGGCCCTGATGGCAGCCTTGGAGTTGTTCCGTCCAATTTCACATGGATTTGTTATGGGGATCGTTTCACTGTCCCGGGTCCGGAGCTAAAGCACAGCTGAGGCCAAGATAGTCTGTTTCGTTTGATTGAAAACTGTCTCAGGAGTCAGTAGACCCAGGACCTTATTCCTGGATGCTGACCAGACCTCATTGTCCTGAGGGCTTGATGATTAAGCAAGGGGTGGGGAGTCAGGTGCTAGATGAGGCCAGTTTGAGGCAAAGGAAACACATCAAAATAAAAGGCCAGATTAAAGAAAATAAGGTTTCTGTGTGGTTACAATTCTGGATATGTTAATTCTCGAATCCCTTCCAACAAACCTTTGATGTAGCTACCAGCATTATCCCTTTTTATTTTTTAAAAATATATTTTTATTGATTTCAGAGAGGAAGGGAGAAGGAGAGAGAAATAGAAACATCAATGATGAGAGAGAATCATTGATTGGCTGCCTCCTGCACACCTCCCACTGGGGATTGAGCCCACAACCTGAGCACGTGCCCTGACCAGGAATCGTGACCTCCTGGTTCATAGGTCGACACTCAACCACTGAGCCACGCCAGCCAGACAGTATTATCCCGTTTTACAGATAAGGAAAGATTATACCCGGAGTCATACAACAAGTAAGTTCCAGAGCTGGGGTTGGGAGAAGCAGCCTGGCATCTTTTTTAAAAATATATATATTTTATTGATTTTTTTACAGAGAGGAAGGGAGAGGGATAGAGAGTTAGAAACATCGATGAGAGAGAAACATCGATCAGCTGCCTCCTGCACACCGCCCCACTGGGTATGTGTCTGCAACCAAGGTACATGCCCTTGGCCAGAATCGAACCTGGGACCCTTGAGTCTGCAGGCCAATGCTCTATCCACTGAGCAAAACCGGTTAGGGCAGCAGCCTGGCATCTTTATGCTGCGTGTAATCTGGGCGATCAACCTGGAGCTTGTCAGAGAGGGACTCGGAGATCCTTTGTTTAGCTTCAGCTCTAGCAGTTAAATCTCATACACAAGGGAGATCAGTCAACAGATGTATTGCAAACAAGGCCAAAGCAGGATTTATAGAGAGAAGAGAGGAAAGAGAGGAGTAGGAAGTCCGTGGGCGGGAGGGGTACGCTTCCTGGGGAAGGCTGCGGGAGGGTGGTGAGGCCCCTCCCTGTGCTGCTGGCTGCTGTCCTGCCCTGGCACCCCAGGTGCTGCGGTTAGGTCTGGATTGCACCACCTCCCTCCCACGAATTCCTCCGGCTCCTCCAGTCACGCTAACAGAATGCTGTCCAGTCCACCCTCATAAGGGGCAGTAAGATGTTCCTGGACTTCCCTGTCCTCCCGGAGTAAACCCCGAGTGGGGCAGAGAGCGAGATGAGGAAAAGGCAGGGAGGATGGGGCCTGCTGGCCAGGGCTGATGTCCTGCAGGCATCGGTGAGTCCTCTCCACCTGGGCCGGTTTTCCTCCAGAGGCCTCAGCAGTCCCAAACAACCCAGCAGTTGGCCCACAGTTCTTCCAGCTGGGCCCTCCCTCCAGCTGGGCTCAGCCTGGATCTAGAAAGCCAGGCTGTGATCACAGAGGGAGCTTCAGTGAGTGGGCCCAGCCCATGTTCCTGGGGGACCTCGGGGGACACCCTCAAACCCTGAAGTCTAGGCACAGAGTCACCCCCAGTACCTGCCCCTCCTCTCTGTCCTAACTACCCTCTGCTTCACCTAATTTTGCCCCAAACTCTCCCCTGAAACTTTGCTGTCCAAGGGCTCCTCAGATGTCCAGGCCAGTAGCTCCTCTCAGTCCTCATCCTTCCCCTGCCCTGCCCCCATTCACACTGCATTTCCTGCCTTTGAAGGTCAAAGCCTTCCCTAAGGCATCTTCACTTTCTCCCAAGAGACCTTTCCCACATGGCTTGACCTGTAAAGTGTGTGTGTGTGTGTGTGTTTGGTATTTGTGTGTGTGTGGTATTTGTGTGTGTGTGGTATTTGTGTGTGTGTGATATTTGTGTGTGTGTGGTATTTGTGTGTGTGTGGTATTTGTGTGTGTGTGGTATTTGTGTGTGTGTGGTATTTGTGTGTGTGGTATTTGTGTGTGTGTGGTATTTGTGTGTTTGTGGTATTTGTGTGTGTGTATATGTGTGTGTGGTATTTCTGTGTATGTGTGTGTGGTATTTGTGTGTGTGTGGTATTTGTGTGTGTGTATGTGTGTGTGTGGTATTTGTGTGTGTGTGTGTGTGTGTGGTATTTGTGTGTGTGTGTGGTGTTTGTGTGTGTGTGTGGTATTTGTGTGTGTGTGTGTGTGTGGTATTTGTGTGTGTGTGTGTGTGTGTGTGTGTGTGTGGTCTGGTGAGCACCAACCATATGCAGTTCCCAAGGACAAGAATGTGCCAATGGGGATGCCAAGGCACAGAGAGGTGAGGTAACTTGTCCCATGTCATCCCACTACTTAAGGGAAGAACCAGAATTGAACCCAGGCTGCCTGGCCTCAGGGTCTTCTTCACCATGTCATTCGCTGCTCTACCAGAATACCATGTCACAGCACTGCTGCCCTGTCCATCTCTCCCACTGCTGGTGTCTGAGACCCAAGTGGGTAGAGATAGAGTTTTATTCATTCTTGTCTTCCCAGCATATATTAGGCGCTTGCTATGTATGTGTTGTGTGAATGAATAGCCAGAGTACCAGGGTCAGAGCAGGAAACAAGAACAGAAGGTGTTGCTGTGGAGGAAAGGAAGGTGAGCGGCTGGCTCCAGGACTCCCCTCACTTGGCGAGCCCGGGGGACGTTTTCAGGACCAGGGACCAGGTGCCAGGCTGAGGACCAACTGCCAAGTCCCAATGCCGACAGGATCCCCACCTCGCTTGGATAAGAGCGGCCCTGGCCCTCCAGCAATTGTCCTCAGCCCTGTGCCCATCGCCTCTGCCCCAGATCCTTCTCCAGAACAGCAGAATAGGTGGTATTCTCCTGTCCAGGTTACAAAAACCAGGGCCACTCAGACACACAGGTTCCATTCATCTCAGGTTAAGTCCGTGCCCACAGTCACAGGAAGCGCCTCTTAAATATTAATGTCACTTCCCACATGCACTGGACCCAGGCAGCCCACACAATGGGTCTGGGAATTTAACACTGACCGTGCATGAGCCTGAAGAAGGTGAACTTCCGGAAAATGCCTCCCCAGTCTTGGCAGCCAAGTGGAAACCACACCCTCCCCTGATATGCAGCATGGGTCATAGCGGAGTCCCACAAGGGGTCAGGGGTGAAGCTACCAAGCATTCACTGAGTTGCAGATGAGCCAGGAGAGGGAGGAAGCCAGGTGGCAGCCCCAGGGAGACCACAGCAGGCTCTGGAAGACAAGGGAGGGCAACGCCCCAGGAAGTGCACTGCGCTTCAGAATGCGACCTGTGCCCCTGGGAGCGTGCAACTGAACTGAGCCTTAAAGAACTAGTAACTTCGAATTTAATCCTGGGAAGAAGGTGACCCCTCAGGTGAAATTGGAGGCTTCTGGAGGAGGAGGGGCTAGTTCAGAGGCTCTGAGCCTGTCCCTCACTCGGTTTGTCCCTTGTTCCCTGAGCCTTATGAATCAATCCCTTAGGGACCGTGGGATTGATGGTGGGAAGTAGAGAGGCAGGTCTTCTCACTCCCATTTTCTCAGCTCCAGCACCCACCTTCACTGTTTGCAGCATTAGAATCACCCCACAGAGCTTAAAATAATAAATACCATTGCCCTAGCTGGTTTGGTTCAGTGGATAGAGCCTCAGCTCGAGAACTAAAGGGTCCCAGGTTTGATTCCAGTCAAGGGCACGAAGTCAGTTGCTGGCTTCATCCCCGGCCTGGGTCCAGTGTGTGTAAAAGGCAACCAATCGGTGTGTCTCTCTCAAATCGATGTTTCTCTCTCTCTCCATCCCTTCCACTCTCTCTAAAAATCAATGGGAAATATTAATGGCCCAAAGCCCTCTGCTTGGAGTTCCTTATTTGATCCCTGCAACAGCCCAGTGTTTTTGTCCTCATTTTAAAGATGAGAACTGAGGGTCCAGGTGGTTGGCGTGGTGCCTGGCCTGAGTCCTAAGAGAGTAGGTACTAGCCAGGCAGAGGAGCTAGGATGTGTAGGGGAGTATGCTCGACATGCAGAGTCCCAGGCCCCCAGCATCTGGTGGGCCTGCTTCATGGAACAACGGAATTTGGGGATGACACAGATAAAAGGGTTTTCTTCTTTCCACCCACGTCCTCCGCCAGCCTTGGTCACATGTCCCCTGGCCTTTCCGTACTGGTATCTCCTTCAAATGTCACCTCTTCAGAGAAGCTGTATTTGCCAATCCGCTAATAAAAATCATCTCCCACCCTAGCCAGTTTGGCTCAGTGGACAGAGTATTGGCCTGTGGACTAAAGGGTCCTGTGTTCGATTCCAGTCAAGGGCACATACCTCGTTTGCAGGCTAGATCCCTAGCTCTGGTAAGGGCAGAGGCAACCAATCAATGTGTGTGTCTCTCTCTCTCTCACACATTGATGTTTCTCTTTCTGTCTCTCCTATTCCCTTTCACTTTCTCTAAAAATCAATGGAACAATATCCTCAGGTGAAAATTAATAAAACAAACAAAAAATCTCACCTCTCCTGTCTCTTCCCCCCTTATCCTGCCACCCTTCTCCAAAGTAGTGCCCCCCAGAGTGTGGTCCTGGCGCTGCTGCCAGCCTTGCACTGTCATCTGTCCAGAAATGGAGAGTATTTGGATGGCACTCTCCCATCCTAGTTATATAGCAAATTTTCTAGTAATTCACTATAATTGTATGTTACAAAAGAATTGGTCCAAGACAAATTAGAAAATTTAAAGTCATTCTTCACCCCCAGGAATTTGAGAGACCTGCTCGTAGCACCATTGCCACCTGATAGTCATGTTTTCATTTGTTGTTTAGCTTCTGTCTCCCCTCTACACCATCCAGTCCACACAGCAGGATTCGCTCTGCTTTGTTCACTGCCAGTTCCCCAGCCTGGAGCAGTGCCTGGCACATAGTAGGCACTCAATACTTACCGGTTGGATGAATGTGTGAGTGAATGAGTAAAGCAAGCAGTCCCAAGTAGATCCTGTAAGTCTCTGGTCACTTTCGGTATCGAAACTCAACCCAATCCACTTGGTATCATGTTGAGAAGCCCAGCCTTTATAGGTTACAGGGTCAGAGGGGGCTGTGATGGGTTCACACAGGGGATGGTCAGGTTGGGTTAGAGAACTCACTTCAGAGGCCGTGTCAGAGCCCACACCAAGAGGTGGGACCATCCGCAGACGGAGCAACTAGCCCTGCCCTAGCCCCACACCTTAGAGGGCCCCACTTTGGCTCTCCTCTGGCCATGCCCCTCCCTGGGGTGAGGATTCTGCAAGGCCAAGGGGTCCTGCCCACCTTCTAGACCACACCCCAGGTGTCCAAGATTCCAGAATTCCCTGCCAAACCCACTGCTGGCACCTGGCACCTGCCTGGGCCTCTGCCCACATCAGCCTTCCACAGGGCAGACCACACAGCCATTATTCAGAAGCCTCGGCCCATGAAGTGGCCAATGGGAGCTGTTTGCAGAATGAGAACAGGCTGGGGTGCCCACACACGTGCAGGTCAGAGCCAGGGCAGGCCATGAGCCAGAGCCTTCCAGCTTCTTGCTCCCCGACCTGCAAATGTTAAGGCTTGGATGTGAGGCACAGAGATCCTTAAACAGTGGTTCTCCTACCTTGGGATCACCTGGTGTCAGGGTCCAGCCACTCCCATCCAGGTGGATTGGTCTGAGGTTAGGAGTGAGTTAGGCCCCCCAGCTGGCTCTCATGGGTGGCCAGAGTTGAGAGGCACTGCTGGAGAGATGCTGCCACAGTCCAGGCGAGAGGGGCAAGGAGAGAGAGGAGGGCCTGCGCTGGGGAAGGTGGGGAGAGGTCCCTGTGTAGGGGCGTGGATCTGAGCTGGGTCTGTACATGTGCAGTTTATTTTTATTTTTTAAAGCTTTTTTTATTGCCTAGTTGGTGTAGCTCAGTGGAAGAGCATAGACCTATGAACCAGGAGGTCAGGGTTCGATTCCCGGTCAGGGCCTGGGTTGCAGGCTCAATCCCTAGTGGGGGGCGTGCAGGAGGCAGCCAACCAATGATTCTCTCACATCATTGATGTTTCTCCCTCTTCCTTTTTCTCTGAAATCAATAAAAACATATTTTTAAAAAATATTTTTTAAATTGATTTTTACAGAGTGAGGGAGGGAGAGAAACATCAATGCGAGAGTGAAACACTGATGGGCTGCCTCCTGCACACCCCCTCTACCAGGGATCAAGCCCACAACCTGGGCATGTGCTCTGACTGGGAATCGAACCGGCAACCCTTCAGGTGCACAGGACGACACCCAACTAACTGAGCCACACCAGCCAGGGATGTCCATGTGAAGTCTAACAGGCAGGTGGATAATGGCCTGGATCTCAAGTTGGGAATTACTAGCCCAACATGAAACCATGCCCTTGGCTAAGAGTGGAAGACTTGTTAAACCACGAGGGGAACTTCATTTGTGCCTCCAAACTCCACCCTCCATCTGCCAATCCATTCCTCCATCCCAGGCCACAGTCAGCTAGCAGTGAAGTGGGGGCCCTTATCAGTTCACCCAGAGCAGGCTGGTCGGGGGAAGACCTTAATGACACTCTGGATGCTCTTCTTCCCCCTCTCACTCCACCCCTGCTCCCCCACTCCCACACCCCTGCACCCCTCTCCTTTTCTCCCCCCTGCCCCTTTGGCCTTGCCTGTCCCCTCTCCCTTCCTGGCACTTGTCCCCCAAGGTGAAGGTCTGGTTCCAGAACCGCCGCACCAAACAGAAGAAAGACCAGAGCAGAGACCTGGAGCAGCGGGCGTCCTCCTCGGCGTCCGAAGCCTTCGCCACCTCCAACGTCCTGCGGCTGCTGGAGCAGGGCCGGCTGCTGTCCGCGCCCAGGGCCCCCGGCCTCCTGGCCCTGACGCCCGGCCTGCTGGGCCTGCCTGCCGGCCACAGGGGCACCGCCTTGGGCGACCCCAGGAACTCCTCCCCGCGCCTCACCCCGCTGGGCTCGGGCCCCGGGTCCCCGCCGCTGCGGCCCCTGCCCCCGGCGCTCTGCTTCTCGGCCGCCCGGCTCCTGGACCTGCCCGACGGCTGCGACCTGAGCTCCTCGGCCTTCGAGCCCTACAGCCCGCCCTGCAGCCCGCTGGAGCGGGGAGGCGGCAGCCCCCGGGGCGCCAAGAAAGCCAGCGCTTAAGCCTCCACCCCCTGCGACACTCTGCCCCCAAGCACTGCACCACCCGCCTCCCAGGCCCCGTGGGGGTGGGCAGCCACGCGTCCTGCCCCCCCACCCCCCCCCCCACCCCCGCCAGAGACTCTGGACCAGGACCAGACAGCCTGGGCCGCGCAGCTTTGTGTGTGTGAGTGCGGTGTGCGTGTGTGCCTCTCACTGAAATAAAAGGAAAACAATGACGAAGGGAAACAGAGTCCCCACAGCACCTGCCCCTCGACCCCCGCTGTCCCTCTCTTGGCTGAGGTGGAGGGGGGAATCTCTCCTGGGAGAGGCAGAAACTGGGGCCATGTTCACGGTTTTGGGGGATCCGGCTCCCTGGCTCCCACTCCCAACTAGAGCTCCCACCCCCGCACTTGCACGCCCGGGGCAGCAGCAGCCACGCTTTTCCCGGTTCAGCGTTGCCCTTTGCAAAATCCTCTTTCAAACATAAAAACACGTGAGGGAGGAGGCGCTAAATCCTTTGAAAGGGTGGATCAGAGAGCCTGCGAGAGGGGATCGAAGGTAAGTCCAGGTGAGACCCCACCTGCTTGAAAAGGCCCACCCACCAGACACAGCAATGTGAGCATTTTTAAGAAACTTTCATTTAACTTTTTAGTATTTTGCGGTCATTGTAGATTTATAGGAAGTTGCAAAGATAGTCCAGAAAACTCCTTGTACCCCTCACTCAGGTTCCCCAATGGTCGCATCTTCCTTCCGTAACTCCGGTAAACCATCAAAACCAGGACATTGACATTGGTACCGTCCCACGTCATTTCATCACTCGTGTAAGATTCATGGACCACCACTGAAATCAGCAATAGGAACTGTCCGTCACCACAAAGAGCTCCCCCTGCTAGCCCGTCATGGTCACCCCCATCCCTGCCCCAGCCCAAGAGAGTTCCTTGAAAGAATGGGAACTGGTGAGAGAGGGACCCTAAAATGGGTCCTTAGGCCGGGGGGATGCGGGGTAAGATTGGGACTCTGTAGGGAGAAACAGTCTGCTCCAGTCTGTTCTGGAAAACATATACAGTGGGGCCTTGACTTACGAGTGTCCCGACTAACGAGTTTTTTGAGATACCAGCTGTCTCTCGGCAGATTTTTTGCATTGAGTTGATAGAGTAATTTGAGTTAACGAGCTCGGTCTCGAATTAAACTCGTAAGTCAAGGCCCCACTGTATCTGGTTTCAAATTGGCTGCCCTGAGTCACCCAGAATGGGGTGCTGGGAGGGGAATCCTGAGTCTGGAATGAGACATATGGGTGACTGGGGAGGAGCTTGGGTTGGGCAGGCGCAGCCACCACCCAGTGTCCTTGCCCGGCAGACCTGTGCTGCACTGCCCTGGCCCAGGGGAAGGCACAGTCTGTTCAGCCTCCCCGCCCAAAGCCTATTCCTCCATGTGCGCTTGCTGCCCTGGGCTGAAAATGTCAGGAGGGGCCGGCTGCATGGGACGCTGAAGTGAAATAGAAGTAATGAGACAGGGTTCTCTGATCAGATGGAGAGAGGCCTGTCTTGATTCTCAGGGAGCTGTCAATATTATGAGACAGAAAGGTGTAAGGAACCCAAGGCTGATGGAGGAGACAGGCTCAACTCTGGGGCTCACAGACCAGTGACGGCAGCAAAAGAGAACTCTCCAAAAGGGGGTGTGGGGGCTAAAAGAGTAATAGGTTTCCTCCCACCTTTTGAGTTCTTCTAGCTGGGCTAGTAACCATGTTACCAGAGGTCAACAGGAGAAAATGGAATTTTAATACGTGCACACCTAGAATTCATAAAAGCATGACTATTCCAAAGACAGGGAGGCAAAACTGGATATGTGTGTCATTTTGGACAAAGGAGCAAGAGGGGGGGGGGGAGTGCGGTATTAGATTTTACAAGTAAAAATGGGCGATTTGCAGGTACTTGGGGAAGAGCAGAACGCCTGGAGGTAGATTTTGGCTCGGCAACCCAGAAACCAATGGGCCTGGCGAGGGGGTGGGGGATTGATCCACAGGCTCCTGCTTGGGGCCTAACTGTGTGATGCTCAGGTGATTGTGCTCAGGGTCCCTTCCTGATGCCGGTTTCCCCACCTGATCTCTTAGGCAGGAACAGGGAGCAGGTCAAAGGTTCTCTCTGAGTCTTTTGTTTCTTAATAACCACTTTAAAATCCATATCCCAAAAGGCAGCTTTGGGTGGCAGAACTTTGGTCCCCTTCAAGGGCATGACACAGAAAAGAGACCAGATGTGTGGTGACTCCGGGGTGCTGGAGGACCCAGGGAAGGTTTCCTGGAGGAGGAGGCACTGAAGCTGATCCAAGAATGATCCTCCCTAGGTGTTCAAAAAAAGATGATAATGGAGTTGCGCAGGGGAAGAAGTACCCCGTATGGTCAGGGAAAGGAGTGTGGGGTGACAGCAGGTTGCTGGTGGAGATGGTGAAGTGAAGATTGAGGGGGGTGAGACCAGGAAGAGATGTGGTGAGGGGTGTGGGGCTGTCAGAGCACCTGAAGTTCCAGGCCAGGG